CCCGCGCGACGACCGCGGGCCCGCGGCCCCGCCGGGGGCTCCGGGCAGGCTCCGCCTCCCTCTGTGCGGAGCCTGCTGTGGGAGGCGGCGCGCCAGCCCCGCGAGGTTGTCCCCGCGACCGCGACGCTGCGCCCCACAAACCGGCTGTGTGGTGTGAGCCCGGTCTGTTGCTCGTCGCGCCCGCCTGTGGCTCTCGTTATGAAGAGGGAGCTCCAGAGCGCATCGCTCGTGCTCCCTTCGATAGCTCAGCTGGTAGAGCGGAGGACTGTAGCAGAGTGCTGTGTGGCCATCCTTAGGTCGCTGGTTCGATTCCGGCTCGAAGGAAGAGCTGCTGTTTTGAAGTTGAGCGCCACCCACTCTAGCGCCCTGTCTGTAGGGAGCACAAAGTGTGGTGCACAACACCTGTTGTGAGGGTTTAGCCCTCTTGGGAACAACTCTGGAGAGGAGAGCCTTGGGTGTGTCTGGCAGCTATACCTGCTTGGGAAGGGGTGTGTGTTTGTATGAACTGATTGTGAGGTTTAGTACATTCCTTTTATTAACGAACGAATTTTCCTACAAAAATTTGAGTTTTAATACCTAATATTTAAGGTGTGTCGTTTTTAAGGCTGGGCATGGTGGTGCATGTCTGTAAACCCAGCACTGGGGATCCTGCGGCAGAAGGATCACAGTGCTTTCAAGGCCAGCTTGGGCCGCACAGAGAATTTAAGGTTAGCCTAAGGAGACCTTTGTCTAAAAAAACCTGAAATTTGGCAAAGAGATGTTCTAATTAAAAAACATTCCTTTCACGAAGTGCTGGTCCCCTGGCATATTTAAATCTGAAGCGTCATAGTTCATTGTTTGTGAAGAACATATGAAAACAAGAGCAGGGATCTATATTTGCTTGACCTGGCTATGATTTTAGCAGAACTTCCACAAGGCAGGAAATGTACTCAGTTGATGTTTTTCAGAGCAGCCCAAAGCCTGGTGGTCAGTGGGAAACTGCTTCTTTGTACTTGTGGTCAGTAAGTTTAAAAGGAGCCCCAGCTGAGAATAACTGCCAGGGACTGAATCAAGGACTATGCAATTCTTTAGTGTTAACTAATAGTGTTAGCTATTTTTGGCATTAGGATAGATTAAAAAACAACAACAACAACAACAAAAAAAAACAAACCAAAACTGAAACAGGAAGGTCACTCTAAGCCACGTAGACAAAGTCATTTGGATTGAGTGAACACAGTGAGAAACCGTTATATAGTCTGTGTAATAAAAGTGTGTGTCACACATCAAGCATCACCATTCACAAAAGTGTTGCTGAACTTGGTCAAACCGAAAGGAAAGAGTTTCTTGAAAGAAACTGAGGAAGCACCACTTCCAGTACCCTCGTGTTTGCCCCTGTTGCTCTAAAGCACCCTCTGGCAGCTGCCTGCTTCTACATTTCCTTGTGCGTTGCAACACACGGTCAGCTCCTCTGCTGAGGGTTTTATGAAAATGGTTGTTATCTGGAGTAATTCTTTCTTCACGATTTCCTAAACAAGGATAAAATTATGCGACGCATCTGTGAGATGGCACTTAGTGGAAACACCAGTAAAGATCAACTCCTGCACCTGACAAGTGGTATTGATCGGCAGCTCACATGGAGCCTGTTACTTCCTGTATAAAAGCACATATGTAAATAATCACGCAAGGGTAGCGGTGATCTTACACAATTGGTGACATTATGAGAGAAGAGCTGGTGAAACTGCTTTACCTGGAAGAACACAGGGATGGATAGCTCTGATGGAGGCATTTCCATCACAAGACATAGGGCCAGAGAAGGTGGCTTCAGTTACTAGTTTTAGGGCATCTTGCATGAAGGGGCAACTTCTGGTTTCATACAGTTCTTTGTGAAGGAAGTGAAACATCTAGTCATCTAATTTCATTGTATTATCAAGCAGTTATTTGTGCCAGGGAAATCAGCAAAATGTAGACAGTATCCTAAAAGCTGTCACAAAAAATGGTGAGCTCCAGTCATGGCTGGTGCCCTTAGTGGTGTCAAACACTTTTTTGTTTTTGAAACAGAGTTTCACTGTACAGTTTCAGTCTGGCCTTGAACTCAGTGGCCTTGAGCTCACTGTGTAGCCCAGGCTATCCTTCCATTCACAGTTATCCTCCTGCCTCAGCCTCCCAAGTGTTGTCATGTACCACCATGCCTGGCTTCAAGCACTTCTTGATGAGGTGCAGGTGCAATATAATGCTGTATTTATGTACAACAATACATGGTGATTGAGCAGAGAAGGAGTCCTGGAGAGATCTGTAGCCTGTTCAGATGAAATTAGACTGTATCTGAATGAAAAGGGGCAGAAATATCCACAGCTCACTGACACGGCCTGGCTTACCAATCTCATGTTTTTGTTTCATAGATTTTACACTACACTTCAGTGTACTGAACAAAAGCCTCCGGAGGATAGGTAAAAACAGCAGAAAAGGTGTCTTGTGATGTCAGCATATTTGAGAGAAAGCTGCAGGTTTCTGAAAAAGCCCTTGAGAGTGAGCAGTTGAAATATTACCTGAATCTAAAAATACATTTAGAAAATTTGGTAGGTAACATTCGCAGACAATCTTACAAGCCATCAGGAAATCTGGAAGGAATTCTCTAGCATTGTAGCAGCTGCAAAGGAGAATTTTGGTAGCAGGCTTTTACAGTTGTGTAAAATGGAAATAACCTGGTGTTTTCTCACTTTTCCAGATAAAGCCAAATTTGAAGAACTAGATCCTTCCTGCTTACACTGATTTAGGTTTTGGAAATCTGGAAATGGAGCTACTGGAATTTCAAGAAAGTTCTATCTGTAAAAATAAATTCTATGTTCAAAAATGAATTGAGTTCAAAACTTGAGAAGATAGAGTGTACAGAACACAAACCTACAAAGTATAGGTAAAAGCAAAAAAGATGTTTTCTGATGTCAAAATATTTGAGAGAAAACTGCAGGGTTTTGAAAGAAGGGATAAAAGGACAGCACAAGTGGTAGTTCTAAAAGTGAAATTCTAAAGTGTGGAATTCTCTGCCAAATAATTTTAAGTCAGTGAAAGCACTAGGGGTTGCTTCTCTTACTTTGTTTGGATCCCGTTATGCTCGCCAGCAGCCGTTTGCAGCTTTGAATCAGAGCAAATCTGATACAAAAAACCGACTTCACAGGCGACCTGAATGTTACATGTGCTGCTTTTAAACAGAATAAAAGCCAAAGTTTGACAAATTATTAGCATGCATATGTCAGCCAAGACCACATAGCTGTGTATTAGCACTCCAAGTGCAAACCTTGTGTGTGTGTGTGTGTGTGTGTGTATGTGTGTGTAACCAGGATTGAACTCAGACCCTTGCACTTGCCAAGGAAGCACTTATTCCATTGATCCATCTCCCCAGCTCCTAAGTGCAACTTTTGCCTTTCATTAAAACCCATTTGCTTCATTGAAAGCTCTGTGATTGTGTTTTTCTTTTAAGACAAAAGATGTTGATGCATGAGGGCTTTTTTCTTTCTAAGCTAAAACCTCAGTATTCAGAATTAATGGCAGTGTTGGCACTTTGCAGTAAATAACTGGGTTTTGGGTTGCGGCTTGGACGCTAGGTCTCTAAAACGTTTGCACGACTGGCTTAGAGCTACCAGGCGGATCCCACTTAGGGTGCTACCAGAAGAGACCAAGGGCTACTGGACAGTGCAGAAAAACTTCAGAGTGTGCACACACACCCTCCTTGCACTTTTGGGACAGCGAGCCTCTGCTTCTCCTATTCCTGCATCCCCTAAGAAGAGACATTTTAAACTTACCTAGAGGTTTTGTTTATATAGTTCTACAAAAAAGATTTTGACTTAAGGCAGAACAGGAAGTAGGGCAAGGATTTAATGTGAATTGGAATGACCCTGGGAGAGCGAATTTCGAATTTCGGATAGAGGAAACAATAGAGGCAAAGGTTGGAGAGATGGAGTAGTGATACCTCTCAGGGAAACTGCCCGGGGCCTCTGAAGTCAGAACAGAAGCCAACTGGCTTCACCTGCAGCCTCCTCGGGCTCCTGAACTTGATGTCCCTGTCTCCCCTCTAGAATTTCATTAGCGGGAAAGGTGGCAAACTGAGGGTAGGGGTGTCTTGTGTCTGTTCTGGGCTCAGGACCACACTCCACAGTGCAGCTCTGCTTCGTCTTCCGGTGACCCGGCGCTCTGCTAGCCCCTTGAAGTTTAGTGAAACTCAGATGAAAGCCCTGCGATCTGGAAAGCTGACTGGCCTCACCCCATCCAGCTGCTGTGTGTCCAGGATGCGGAGCTATGAAAACCAGCAAGGATAGGGACAGTCAGACGTGGAACCTGGCAAATGTGGAAGAAATAAGGCCAAAACTGCGTGTCACAAGGACAGTACAACAACCCAAGAACATGCTGAAACAGCCAGATGGCCTGTTGCCAGTGCAAAAATCCAGTAATATAATTCACAGGCAGTATTACAAGGCACTTCTACATGCTGGCTCGTTGGTCTAGGGGTATGATTCTCGCTTTGGGTGCGAGAGGTCCCGGGTTCAAATCCCGGACGAGCCCGTTTTTAACTACCCTTTTCTTTGGTTTGTTTTTCTTTTTCCCTCCTCTTCTTTAGCAACTACAAGGTAAAGTTAAGTTTCGTTCAAACTTTCTCGCCTTTGGACTGTTCTACCAAAGAAACCAGCACTGTATGACTTATGTGGCAGATGTCCACGTTGGCAGGAAGCGCTCTGAGTTTCTGGTCGCTCCGCCCCGGGGGGGACCTCCTGTATGTGTTTGTGTGCACGTGTGTGTGTACCCGCTCTCCCCCTGTGGGGTCCCCCAGAGGCGGTGCAGTGGACCCCAGGCTTCCTCCGGAGGCGGGGTTCGCCAGCGCTCCGGGGGCAGGGTAGGCGGGTCCGGGTGGGAGAGGCCTGTGGGGGACAGTCAGGGCGCGGTGCAGCTGCGAGGAGCTGGGAGCAGGATCCTCTGCGCCCGCAGCCGGCGTTCGGAGGAGCTCAGACGGGGACGCGCGCCGCCCACCCACGCGCGACCAAAGCGGGATTCAAAAGGAAGCCTTTGCGGTTTCTACCAGCTCGGGTCAGCCTATTGGGAAGAAGGGTGAGAAATAAAATCTCATTCCACTCGCTACCCATTTGTTCCACCTGGCTCGGAGGCTGAGATGCTCGCTCCTCCCGCCTCTCCGCACCTCAGTCAGGAGCGCTTTGGCGGCGGGCGGGCGGGGGCTGCAGGGGCGTTTGCGTCCGGTCCACGGAGCTGACCAGTGAAGAGGGTAAAAAAAGGTAGATTTTTACAGAAGTTCAGTTCCCGCCTTGCTTTTTTGCCGCAGCTGAGCAGATACCTGCGCGAAGGTCTCTGTCATACAAGCCAGGTTCCGAAAGGGACCGCAGGTTCTTCGAACCGGGGAAGCCCCGGGAGGCCCGCGAGTGCTCAAAACTCAGGGAACTTTGCTGAGTACTCAGATTGATCATCAGATTTGCGCAGCAGGCCTCATCCAGTTTTTGCTGGCTAAACTAACTTTTAGGGACTGCTGTTTGTTATTTTCTCTGCGTCCCCACCCTTGGCCCACCCTGAGCCAGAGTTGTGAAATTCTTGGAAACTTTTTTCCAGCAGCCTGTGCTTCAAGCCTTCTTGCTGGACACCAGGGTTCCCGTTCTCTTGCTCTGACACAGCATAGAAAATGGTAACAGCAATGCACAAATCAGAACATCTTTATTTAGGAAGGATCGTTAAGAAAAGAAAATAACCACTCTCCTGACGCTTGTAGATCTCATATGAACCAAGACCCACCCTTTGTCACAGTAAGAATATTATTGCCAAGTGACAACCTGGTGCCATATTTATCTAATTAGCATATGGCCAAATCTGGAGAAGCAGCCTTGGATACTCAAAGAACTACTTCACTGCACAGCTACCAGCTAGTTAATGCGCAAGGACATTTTCTGTTCCTTAGGCAATTAGTGTCTTTTTTTTTTCTTATCCTCAGTTTCCTCCTCTGTAAAATGGGGGAGGGATTGACAGATGGCCTTAGAGGTCCCTCTCCATCTTATCTGTCTTATTCTATAATTGCATGGACTAGTACAGTGTTAGTCGTGTGGCTCTTGAATAAAAGAAAGTACTCCAGTAATGTGAAGGTGACTACAGCAGGGCAGGGAGGATAGGGCCACCAGGAACCAAACAGTGCATGGCCGTGGTCGGAGAATGGTCGTCAGGTTAGAAGCAGTGAAACGTTTGTCAGGGTATTGTTGAGAACATTTGCCTATGACTCAAACTGAGTCAGATGGGTAAAAAGTGAGCCAGTGTGAGCTGGTGAAACCTTCAGGAGTTTTCATGAAATCTGTATTTGAGCAAAGGCTGAGCTCTGTAAACAGTTGTTCTCCAAAGAGTGACTGGGAAAGAGGGGATGGGCCCAAAACCGAAAGTTTGTTGAAAAGGTAATGTTTAATTGTTGTCTTTGGAGATACAGGACTTTGTCCCCATTGACCTCTTGGGCAACAGTGCCCCACCATTTGGGGCCAGATCCTTCAATCATGTGGGTTTTTTTTCCTTTAATCATTGGCTTTTGTGAATTACCATATGTGTCATGTTTATAGACTCTGAAATGTTAGCCTTACAACGTAAATTGAGAGAATGTGTATTTCATTCCCATCATCTATTTTTATAATTAGCCCTACAGACAGCATCAAACATACATACTTTATATAAAAGGGAAAAGTACACTGCCACTAGAGTCCCTGGAAGGAGAATGCCTGACAAGAACAGGTGCTACACTTGATCTTAGCCCAAACTGAGAAGTGATAGGAGGTGTCTTGCTTGCTGTGCATAAGGGCTGTTAGCTTCAGGGCGAGAGACAAAGGAAAAGATTCCAGGAAATAGGAATGACTTTCAAGTTGTCCGAACTTTAAAAAAATATGTAGCTTTTCTCAATTGTCCGTTACTTTACAAGTGTTAAATTGCTGACAAAGATATAATGTTTACTAGTAAACTGGTTCCTTGTTTGTTTTGAAACATAAATGCTTGAACCCTAGATGCTTTTTAAACTCCCCTATTTCAATATAACTTCCTGTATTAAGTTCAGAACGAAAACAAAATGCCCTTTTGTATTGGCAAGGGTATGAGCAAGTATGAGCTCTCCGCAATCTTCAGGTGCAGGGCCAGAGTAGAGCAAGTGCCTGATCGTGTTCCGCAGCAGCGTTGGGCAATGCTAAAATCAGAGGCTGCTCTGGCGGAGCCTGTGAGCCTTGAGTGGTGCTTGAGGCCATGGTGTGATGTGCTGTGTCCATGCACGTGTGTGTGCCTAAGTTAGAGCGGCATCCTCATCTCTGAAGCAGAGTGGGGCCACGTTGTTCGTGTCCTCTCCGGCAGTGGGAATTGACTGCTGCCCTCCCTGGGAGTGAGCCAGTCAGTGGCTGTAAGACCTTGCAGACCCCGTCGTGAGTCCGGGAGCTCTCCTCCTTACAGACAACTGTGGGTGGCTTTTAAGAGCTCAGTGCTTTGGTGGCTGTTTAAAAAATGCTCTGTTATTCATTTAAAATAGGTACCGCTTGTAAATGATATGCTTTCCCACAAAAGGAAACTGAACATTTGATGTACTATGTTGGATGCCAGTAGAGTCCCCACATGAGGGTCCCATGGCCCATTGCTTCTCTTTGCTCTTGGAAAACTTAGAGCGTTAGCCCTTGACAGAACACACTTTGGCATTTGATAGCACCGATGGACGCATATCTGCCTCTTGTCAGACGCTCCAGTTCCCCTGAAGCACAAGTACGTAGGGAAAACATTGATGGAGGTTTGCTTTGTCCTCTCCTCACTACTCTAACTTTTTTTCTGTTAGCTCAGGATTTGGGTGAGGGTGCAGGGAGAAGGGAAGAGGACAAGGACAAAGATAGGATACTGGAGACCCCACAGTGGGTTCCAGCCTCCTGCCTGGGGTTATGACACATGGCGAAAAGAAAGAGCAAGAGATAGCGGGGATCTGGGATGACCAGTTGTTGGTGGGGAACAGAAGGCCAGGAGGCAGCCAGAGCCTTGGTACTTGATTACATCTGGGTCAGTGACAGTGGTTGATGCGCAGTGAATGTTTCCAGGAACAGTAATGGGGTTGTGGTGGGCTGGCGAGAATGAAGCACTATTGCAAGGACCAGACAAGGGGCAGTAAGGAAACTAGTTTCCCAGGTGCCTTATCACCCTCAGCAGGGTTCATCTTGGCCCAAGAGCTCCACAGCACCACTAGTCCTAGCGCTTCTGCTGTGACCAGAAGAAAGTGGGGAATTTTGTGGTTCCAGTCTGACTCAAAGGCCAGGACAAGGACAATCCCAGACATTATCTGGACTTAGTTTATAATGTGTAGTCCCCAAAGCTCCAACAAGGATGTGCCCCCAAAGTTAAGAAGCTGGGGACCTTTGTCCTTTTCTAGATCTTCCTGCTGCCCTCCTTCCTTCTGTCAGTCCTCAGGCCCTTCCCAGTACCAAGAGCTGCTGTTAAGGCCAGGCTGGTGGCACTGAGAGAGGAAACTTCCTCCAGGGGTGAAACTGGACAAATATGGATTAGCTGTGCAGGCAGGCCGCCTGGGAAAATTGATGTAATGGAGTTTCCTGAGGGGCTGACGGTTATAACCCTGGCTACACATGATAACCCTGTGTGCGTGTGGCTGTGAGGTCCTGCAGGGGGCACGTCAGCTTTGGAAAGCTCTGTTGGAATTCCTGCCCCCTGCGATCATCGTTCAAGTATTGTTAATCATTGTTTTCACTTCTCTAATCTTGTTTTTTGCTGATTTCCAATGAAAACTTGCCCTGTAGGATAGAAATGCTGCAAAAGTGGTCTCAGGGTCTTATTCCCCACTCTGAGGAGGACAGGTGTCTCCCTAGAGACATGCGGAGTCATTTGTTCTGTCAGGATCCTCTTTGTCTGCTGCTTCAGCACAGGCCAAGAATCCCAGCACTCCAAGAGACCAAGTCATAAATTTGAGTCCAGGTAATTAAGACCTTGTTTCAAAATTTAAAAATAAACAATAGGTTGGGGATATAGCTCTCTCTGTAGAGACCCCAGGGCTCAATTCCTGGGAAAATGAAACAAACAAAAACAGGAACCTGTTGTTCATATAGGCTTTAAAGTAAAGCACATCCCTAAGTACATGAAGTTACTGGCAACTGCTTGAAGAGTTTAGCCTTCTAAGGAGTTCTGCTCTGGAGCCAGGATGGATACCCCCAAAAAGAAGGCACATCAGCAACATTTCGAGAACTATTAGTCAACTAGAAGCAGAGCATTGCCAGGACCTTGAAGCCTTCCTGCTCCGCCTGGGAATCAGGCCTAAGTGGTAACTTCTGTCAAGCCCAGCAGTGTCTGTAAACCCTGAAGAGAAGCCAGGAGAGTGTTCATGGTACAGGTCTCCAGAATGAGAGCAGACAGTGCGGTTCCTAGAAGCAACAAGCAACACTAACAGGAATTTGGGGCCTAGTGTCAAGCATTATTTCAGTACTAAGAGTACAGAGATGAATAAAATAATCTTTGGGGGATTCCGTCTATGGAGAGGCAGTGAGATCAATTTACTATTAAAGGAGCTGTGGTTAATGGTCTCTTCCCTGGTTACTCCAACCTGAAGCAAAACCAGATCCACCCCCCTTGGACTGTAAGAACCTCAGATCCGAGCACGTGCTTTGCGAGTGTTCGGGAGGCTCCTGGAGGTTGTAAACATACCTGCAAGGTCACCCTTTGTCTCTCTGGTGAAGTCACCTTTTCACTCCTTTTCTTCTTCAGCTCTCCGTAAGGAGCCTATCCCTGCCGTGCATTCTCTTCCTTTTTGACCAAGCAAACAGTGGAACTGATGCTCCGCTGCCGCAGAATTGGCCCACCAAGGTCCTCACGTAGGGAAAGTAGTTCCACCCGCTAAACCGTCCCTGCCAACCTTGTAGTGAATTTGGGGTGGGGAGCATTGAGACAGAAGTCAGCTTTAATGACTGTGTGTGCCTGTCTGCATATAATAGTGGGAAAACCCTGTCGTTGGCAGCTGAAATGGGGAAGGTGTAGTGCTATTCCCTAGTAAACTAAACACAGCAGTAATAGTGGGCTTCTTTCCACTGTCGGCTCTGTGCTTCTGAGTC